ATAATCTCCGTCCTTGGATATGTATGTCTAAGGAAAATTTGTTGTTGACTTTATTAATCCCAGGTCCAAAGCAACCTCGAAATTATATAGTTGTGTACCTAGAACCACTAATAGAATGCTTAAAGGAGATGTGAAATATTGGTGTTGAAGTATATGATGGATTTACTAAGTCTACCTTCAATTTGAAAACTGTGCTAATGTGGACAATTAATGATTTTCCAGCTTATGGGAACTTATCAGGATATCCTACGAAAGGCGAAGCAGCATGTCCAGTTTGTGGGTTATCCACATGTGCAAAATGGTTGACATGTAGTTGAAAGTTTTCTTGATGACATATGAGAGCATGTGCAGGTAATATAAATGTCGCATCTTTTATATAATTTAAATGAAATTACTATTAATATTGTGTACTTTGATGCAGCAAAAGTTTGATGTCGATGCTTGTCATAGAAAATACATCATGCAAAAAATGGGAAAAAATTGACGAGATCATCGATGTAATTTCCTTAAAGCAATCAATAACAAAGGAAAATCAATTGGCATGACACGAGCTGCTGCTCTCCTCAAGCTCAATAATGTTGAATCAATGGAAGAATGGCAAGCATTTGTCAAAGAACGCAATTCTCGATCATATAAGGTAAGCTTTCATTGATTTTGTATATTGATTGTGTTTTGCAACATACTGCTTACTGTACCTGTTGTATATTCGCCACAACATTTATGTCTATTACAATGTGCATAAATGATGTTGTAGGAAAAGAATGAAAGATTCAAAAAGATGAGAGCAAGTCAAACCAAGTTGTATACAACAAGAAGAAAGGGTTTTACTTGCTTAGAAGCTGAAATGGTAAAAAATTGTTAAATTAAAGTTAAATTTGTTTTAAAATTATAAATGTTATACAAACTACCACACATGAAATGTAAAATGCAGCGTGCTGAAAGTGAAGATCCTGATTCAATAACGAGAGATGATGTTTATATTCGAGGACATACGCGAAAAAATGGTGAACCTATTAACGAATCAGTTGGGGAAACATTGGTAACAATATTTCTTTTAGTAATTTTTTATCATTTAAAGCTTATATTAGGTAATTTTAGCTCATTAATGTATTTCCTCATATCAGAATAAAATAAAAGCATATTCGGAGACGGTTTTCTCTCCAAGTAAACACTCACTTGAAGGTGATGGTGGTGCAAAAGTATTTGGTCCAAAACGTCCAGGACGGGTAAGAGGTCTTGGTTTCGGTGCGACTCCTTCAAAGTTGAATGCTTTGGTGCACAATCATAACTTGCAAACTAAGTCTAAGAGTTGAGAGATTAAATTAAAGAGTTAAAAGCTTTATTTCAAGTGAAGAGTAAAAATGTTGAACAAAAAGATAATGTAAATGAAAAACTAGAATCAATGAATATTATTCTAAATTACATATACTTTCTATATTCAAAATAATAAATTGTACAACTGGATATTAATTTTACAGTCTA